AATGTGGGGGGGGAGGCAGGGGAGGGAGGGTACACCTGTATTACTTTCAACAATAAAGATAAATTTAAAAAAGAAATGAGGAAGAAAAAGCCATGGATGGCCCTAAATATCATCTGGGAGACTGGCAGAAAGATTGTACCACAATGAAATCTTTGTCTGGATAAACAAGAAGGGGCTCAGAGAAGGGACTTGACTATTCATAAAAATTCAAGTTATGTATTCTACCAACAGAGGTACCTAGAGATACTTAGATTCCATACGTGATTTATGGTTTGACGCTTTACAAGGAACTGTAAATATCCATGACACATACAGTTTTCTAAATTTCATGAGGTGAAACCTTGAAATTCCCACCTTGGAGGTTGGTATGCAAGAGAATGTCATCAGCTTGAAAGTGAGTCTAGCCATCCACCTAGGATCCCCTGCTCCATATGACTTTGATATTAACTCCTCTTCTTGCCTGTGCATGTTAGGGGAAAATATATCATACTAGTATCTGAGAATTCACCCAAGTCATTAGCCCTGTTCCTCATAAATGCCAAAGGCCAAAGGAAGTTGAGATTTGGACATGCAGCATTTGATTAACAGTGAAACATCCAAATAGATTTAACGATGGTTGAAAATATTAGATCAAGAGGGCAGGATGAAATTTTGGAAGTTGACCCCTGAAGATAAATGAGGACTTTGAGGAAGGAAGAATATATAGAGAGAAGAACAGAGGACTTGCTCTCTGCTCCACAGCTGAGCCGAGGCTTCTCTGCCCACGCCTGGCAATTCGCCTACTGCATTCCTCAGCCTGCCCCAGGCCAGTGACAGCTAGATTAGCAATTTGTCCCACTCTTGGTTCCCTTCCTAGAGGTTTAAACTCCAGCTATCGATCAAAGACCTTCTCTTCTATTTTACTCTCAGAGGCACAAGATTCAAGTTTTTGCCTTAGCTGCAGATTACAAATCAGTACATGTTACTGAACTTTCAGGTAGCTGACAAATAGTCAAACTATACACTCCAGGATTAGAAGATCAGTTGTCTGGCCTATAGCACCTAAATTGAGTTTTAAGGAAAATCTGAAGAATAGGATAAAATTATCTGCACTTTTCAAACACTCATCACAAAAGGTTCCTAAAATAATAAGGTATTTACTACAGTGCCAAAGAATTCAATCTACAAAACAAAAGTGAAGGGAGGGGAGAATGTGCAGAACTTCTGGAAAACGCTCTCTCACAGCCAGGCACTTGTAAGTAGTAAGGTGCCCAGGGCAGGGGTCGCTTCCTGTGGGGAAAGATATGTCACAGGGAATGTCCTTCTCTTGGAGGCAGCAGCAAAGAGTCCTGGCAGCCAAGGCCCATGGGCCACAAACAAACACAGGAGCCCAGAGAGTCCCAAGTGGGGCTAAGTCAGAGCAGGATGAAAATGCAATTGTGAGGCAAAAGCAGCTGGGGAACAAGGCGGATCTGTGAGCCAGGCTTGGGCAGGGTGCCTGTCCCTGTTGGGCTGTCTTACAGGACTAACAAAGGCAACAATGGTTATTGTGTTCACCTACTACACTGCCATTCTTATTTCCTTTCAGAGCCGGTAACTGAAACTGGCTTGGCTATGAAAAACAAAAATCATTTTAAGCATTTGTCCTTATTGATGATGATGACCTTATATTTTATCATTTTCTTTTGTTTATTTCTGACACAGATCAGCTTTCTTTCAGCTTTTTATTGGATTATAACATATACAGAGAAAAGCTCACGGATTGTCAGTGTAGGGCTTGGAAATTTTCAAAAACTGAACACATCCTTGTAACCAACATTCAGACCAAGAAACAAAACATGACCAGCACCTGAGCAGACCTCCTCATGCCTCCTCCAGTCTCCACCCCCCCACCCCACCCCACCCGCTACCCCCTCAAGGTTAATTGAAGCAGAACCTTTACTTGTAAAGAAAAAAGAAACAAGAGTTTACCCCAGACCAAAGAGGGAACAGGAGCCAACTCACAAATTACCAGAAATTTAGTCCCCCTACAGTGTAACCCAAAAACCAACTATGAAAAGTGAAGGGATGAAAGGATTTTCTTTAGAGGACCAAAAAACACAGCATTTGGTTTCAAGCTTGACTGGATATGTCATTTGTGGATTTTCCTTTCATTTCAGAGAGACTTTCTAGACATTTAAACCTGTTTGACTGCATTTTCTTAACTCGCTTTCTTTGTCGTTCCTGGAATTAACAATAGGGCAGCACTTTGATTCCAGCTCCAATAAGGGTTGAGGAGGGACAGTGGCTCTTCAGAGTGGTCCTCAGCCTGTCTACACACCAGAACCCTGGAAACTCTTAACAAAACATAGATGCAAGGCTGATTCCAGGTCTCCTGACAGTAGTCCCTTTGGGGAGAGGGGACATCAGAGGAGTGATCACAGAAATGCCATTATTACTGGATCCCCTCCCACAGCAAGCTGTGGGCTGAAGGAGGGGTTCTGTGGGCCCTGCCAGGAAGCGTTCTGAGGACCGAGGCAGCATCTTAGAAGAGAGTGCCTCTTGCCTGTTCTGTGCTTGCAGCTGAAGTTATCAGAAGTAGCATATGAAATGAATGTTAGATAAAGGGCCATGAGGAGAGTCAAGTCAGATCTACAAATTTCACCTGGTTAGTCCAGGAGAAATATAGAACCCAAGAAGATGGGGAAAAGAAGGTATGATGAGCTAAGAGGCTGAGGCAGAGCTTGAAGTAATCTCAGAGCTATAGCACAAATAGCTAGAACCAAGTTTGGGCAGAAGTTTTCAAAGAGACAGGGACCACAACACCATCTATTAAAAATGCTTGCCCCCCAAATGCAGCCTAAACCTGACCTCGGTGTTGTTTTAACTACCAATTGATAAGAAATGAAGAGAATAGGAGAATATAAGGGGTTGCAACCAGCAAAATCTGGGATGTGGGAGGTTCTGTGAATGACCAGGTGTGCACAACTTCAAGGAAGGGGGAGGGTGGAGGATGGAGGGAGAACCAGTAAGAGATTTAAGAGACAAATCAACTAATCACAGTGTGTGGACATTATTTGGAACATAATTCAACCAACTATAAAAATAACAAAAACTAAAAGCAATTAGACAATTGAAGTTAGAATACTAAATAGATATTTGAAGGTAAACAGAAATTACAGTTTAAAATTTTAGGTGTGATGATTGTATTTCAGTTATATTTTTAAAAACTCCTTAATGTTTTAGAGCAGTGGTTTCAGAACTTCAGCATGCATCAGGATCACCTGGAAGATTTCTTGAAACACAGATTTCTGGGCTCTGCCCCCAGAGTTCCTAATTCTTCAAGATTTTATTGGAAACTGAGATTTTCCATTTCTAACAAGCTAGATGCTGGGTACATGAAGGTCCATATTACTATTGTTATGTTAGAAATTTCTATTTTAGAAATATTTTAGGATAAGAAAAAGGAAATACTAGAAAAATCATTTGACAATATCCAACATCCATTCCTGACTAAAAAATAAAATAAGCCCTGGCCGGTTTGGTTAGTGGATAGAGCATTGGCCAGCGGGCTGAAGGGTCCTGGGTTCGATTCCGGTCAGGGGCACATGTCTGGGTTGCGGGGCTCGATCCTCAGTGCGGGGCGTGCAGGAGGCAGCTGATCAATGATTCCCTCTCATCATTGATGTTTCTATCTCTCTCTCCCTCTTCCTTCCTCTCTGAAATCAATAAAAATATATTTTTAAAAAATAAATAAATAAAATAAAAATCTCAACAAATGGGAATAGAACTTCTTCAACCTCATACTAATAAGAATCTATGAAAATCCTACAGCTAACGTCAGATGTGATGGCAAAGATTGAAAACTTTCTCCCCAAGATCAGCAACAAGGCAAGGATGTCTGCTCTCACCATTTCTATTTAACATTGTACTGGAGGTTTTAGCTACTGCAATGAGGCAGGAAGAGGAAATAAAAAGCATCCAGATTGGAAAGAATATGTTAAGCTACCTTTATTTGCAGACAACTGTCATCTATGTAGAAAATCTTATGAGGTCTACAAAATAGCTACTAGAACTGATGTAAAGTTTTACAATACTGTGGCCACAGAGAGGGACTGAGCAGGGTAGGGGCTGGATGGCTGTGGGGGCAAGAGCGCTCTTTCTCTTTATTCTCTACAGCCCCGAGGAGCTTTTCCCCTTCTGAGCCTGCATCCTATCACAACCTGGAGGCCCCAGGTGGGTTGCTTTTCTTCCCTGACTGATGTTGGCACTGAATACTTATTCCTCGGTTAATCGTATTTCCACACGGGAAGACTTACCTTAAGCAACTATTTTCAAACTTGACTGTTACTTGGGGATCTTGAAAAACTACTGCTGCCTGGGTTCCACTTCCACAGATTGTGATGTAATTGTTCTGGGTTATGGCCTGGGCAGAGGATCCCAGTGATTCCAAAGAGGTTCTAGTTTGAGAACCACTACCTTAGAGTAATGTATCTTGCCTTGTAACTTCTCTGAACAGTGAGTTTCAGAAGTGAAACTGGGCTCAGGCCCTAAGGCTTTTTTTTTTGTGGGATTTGACTGCCTACAAAGTTTACCAAGTTTGTTTTACTACTCTGAGCCATAAATTTTATAATAACAGGCCCTGTGGCAAGGGGCAGAGGGAACAGGAGGTGGGAGAAGCCTGTGGTTGTCCAGAAGTGACTTCAGCAAGTTGTCTATTTAATTTAGGTATAAGGAAGTATCAGTGGCCCTGGCCAGATGGCTCAGTTGGTTAGAGCATTGTCCTGATAGGCCAGGGTTGCAGGTTTGATCCCCGGTCAGGGCACTTACAAGAATCAACAAGCCCACTTAGCCACTTATTCAGCAGGCCTCAAGCCATCTCCTAATTACTTATCACTTCAATTTGTATTTGGAAAAATTTCTAACCTACAGAAAAGTTGAAAGAATAGTCCAAATACACCTATATGCCCTCCAAATACATTTGTCAAT